CATATATTTTAAAGTTAAATTCATATACTGTAGCTTCGATTTTATCTTGATTTTGCGTTATTTTTTGTATTTTTTTTTATTCTTTTAAAACTTGTAATTTGATTGGCTAAACAACACATAACAATATATGAATATTGTGTAATATTGGATGGTTCCTCCTGTTACCCGATTCTGATTATGCCGCCCCACACTTCGATTTCTCTCCACGACTCCGATCGATCATATGATCACGTGAGTCGTTTGATTTACATTTTCATTCTACCCTTTCACTTTTCAATTCCTTATTCAATTCGTTATCTACTTGTATACCTTTTATTAGATATAAGGGTTCTTTGGAAACTATGCGATATAAGCTAGACCCCATTGATCATTGTCCTTGAGGGCCATGTCTTCTTCATTTGCTTGTTCTTCTTCAGTTTCATTCAGGTCATTTTCATACCAGGTGAATAATTTTTTAACTTTATTTCTCATTACTAGGCCCTTTAATTCGCTCTCATCTAATTCATTTAAATATACTTGGCCATACTTTTCAATTTTCTGAACCTTATAAGGTCCCATCCAATGATAATTTAGCTTTCAGGACGTTGTTTCCAACATTGAATAGTATATCAAGACCAAGTCCCCTATATTGTAAGTTTCTTTTACTCTTGCTTTTCTATCATGTATTTCTTTTCACCTTTTCCTCAATTCATCCTTTTCAAATTGTGCATTTCTTAAATTCTCCACCATGCTCTTAATCTGCTTGGTTCGGTATTCCAACAACTCATCGGTCGACCATTCCTTTCTCGCCACATATACTTGGTAACTTTCTATTATCAATTGTATAGACATTATAGCATCCTGCCCGTATACTAATCAGAATGGTGAGTACCCCAAATCATTCACAGTTATGTTTATGGCCCAAATGGCACTTCTTACGTACTCATGCCATTTATTTTGCTTCTCTGCACATATTTTTTGGATTATCCTTGTAAATTTTTGAACTGTATGTTCAGCACGGCCATTTGCTTCTGGGTAATAACTTGCCACAAACCTCTGGTCGACATTAAGTCTTGTGGCTAACTCTGCCAACACATTGTTTTTAAATTCAGTACCCCTGTCTGAAACTAAGACAGCAAAGCACCCATGCCATGTTATGACATCATCCCAAATAAATTGAGCTATTGCCATGATATTCTTTTTCTTTAATGCCTTTCCTTCTACATAACCAGTCAATTTTTCGACCGCCAACACCACATGTTCGTGTTCACCTGATGTTCTGGGCAACAGCCCCAGACAATCAATATATAGTTTATGAAAAATCTAACTCATCACAGTTACATGAATCGGTTCTCTAATCGACTTCATTGCGTATTTTTGGCATTCAAGACAGGATTTTATATATTTTTCAGCATCTTCATACACATTTCCAAATGCCCAACCATAATTCATCAGTATTTTTCTTGTGATAGCATTAATTCCACAGTGCCCCTCTTCTTCAGCCATTTCTCTGTGATTGGCTTCTAATATTTTAAATTTTTCATACTTATCAAATATTATTCATTTAGGTGGAACTCCACCCTTTCCTCTTTTATACAGTTCTTTTTCAATAATACAATAGCACTTCATCTTTTGTTGAAGCCGTGCCAAATCCATTGCCTTCACCTCACTTGGCCACTTCAAATTATTCAAATATTCTTTTATCCATGTTAAGTCTTGTTCTTTATTATCAAACTTTCTTACGCTCATTATTTTTCTATCAACAAACTTATCATCATTCCTTTTTTCATCCATACAGTCCACCAGGTATCTCGATATTCCATCGGCATTGCTATGCCTTTTTTCATTTTTATAACAGATATTAAATTCAAATGCTTGTAGGGCTAATACCCAACGCATTAACCTTCCCTTGAGCTCAGCTTTATTAAATAGCCACTCAAGCGCCTGGTGGTCTACCCACACATCAAACTTTGTCCCACCAATGTAACATTCATTACTGTTGCACCCAAATACTATCGTCAGGTATTCCTTTTCTGTCACGGTGTAATTCAACTCATGCCTATTCAGCTTTCTTGATTCGAATGTTATTGGCCTCAAATTGCCTTTATCATCAGCTTGTTCCAACACTGTGCCAATCGAAACTTCACACATGTCAGTGTACAGCTGGTATGGTCTTTTACCATTTTTGGCATATTCCCAATTGGGTCCTTTTAACACCACTTTCTCTAACAATACCTCCTTTAATTTATTAAACGATTTTTTCTGTCTCATTTTCCAAACAAACACACTGTCCTTTTTCATTAAATCAGTTATTGGCCTTGCAATTTCGCTGAAATTCTTTATGAAACGTTGATAGTACCCTATAGCCCCATGAAATGACCTTACTTCGGTTTGGTTCTTTGGTTCTGGCCATTCTTGTATTCTTTTTATTCCTTTCTTATCCACTTTTATTCCTTCCCTACTTACTACATACCCATATATGTTCAATTCTCTACATGCTATGTGGCATTTCTTTACGGCGAACGTAAGTCCAGCCTTTTTAAATATCTTGGCTAATTCTATAAATGTATCTATATGATTCTCTAAGTTGCCATCCGTCCATAACCCAATGTCATTTTGATATGCTGCAGATAACCTCTTCCACTTTTCACCTTTTAAAACCAAATCCATTAATCTCTGAAAGGTTTTACTGGCATTTTTCAACCCCATACACATAACAGTGTACCATAATACTCCCAACGTCATCGAAACAGCCACCTTATCATGATCTTCTTCTCAGATTTGTATCTGCCAGTATCCTTTGAATACATCCACACTTGAATACCATTCATGACCTGCTGCTTTTTCAAGTATATCTCGTATGATTGGTAGCAAGTAACTGTCCTTAACTATATGTTTGTTTAATGGTATCATATTGCCTACTGCATATATTTGATCAGTACCACCTTCTTTTTTGTCCACCGGAAAACAATGGTATGCATATGGCCCATTTTCTTCCTCCAACAACCCATATTTTATCATCTCCTTCAAATATTCTTCGAATAATTGGGCCTTCTCTGGATTGTTAATCCTAATTGGCCTTAATCTTATCTGTGGTATTTCTACACCACCCGTCTAACTTTGTATTCTACTAAATCAGTACGCCTCAATTTGGATAAGTTGAATGCGAATGCTTTTGATACTTTATTTATTAACTGGGTTTTTATGTATTGTTTTTCTTCCGGTAGAAGTTCTGACCCAAAGTTGAGTAAATCCATATTCTTTAATGTTAGTTTTCATAACACAACTGATTCGAATAATTTCAGCTGATCTTTGGATTCAGGTGATACTTGAACACGTGATTTGTCTTGTTCGTTTTTATTTCTTAATAGTTTTTCACCAATATTCAGTCTTACTTCACTATTTTCTACTAGTTGAAATCTTCTTACAGCTATCACTTGATTGACTTCATCTTCGTCGTCATCGTATTCTTCAGTTTCATCGTCATTGGTATCTTCGTCCTTTTCAATCCAATTCTACAGCACTTCTGAGACAATGAATGATGATTCTCTGTTCGACGAAGATACAGTACACCAGTATTCATTTTTTTTCTAACTAAGATTGCATTGCATTCCAGCTATCCACGGCATCCCCAATAAAATATCGAAGCTCGCTGATTCCATTACATAGAAGCTTTGACTTGTTTTCATTCCTTCCATTTCAACCTCTACTTCTGGTATATATCTTTTGAATTCACTTATACTATCATCTACCATCCTTCCTTTTCCATAAGCCCGATCCCATCTCAGTTCCCTTTTTTTTGCATAATTTGCATGTATCAAGTTTAGACGGGAACCAGGATCAATCGGCACATTAACTGGGTCTCCATTAATCAAAGCAGACCACATAGGTACTATCTCATTCTTATTCTGTTGCATTTTATTTTCTTTAATGAATCTTAGCTTAATATCCATATCCATAACATTCTCTGCTTTCTTTTTTCGGGCTAACGCCCTCATGATTTTATTTCTAGCTTTGGGTGACCACTTAAATAATTGCCCAAGCGAAATATTGAATTTTAAATCGGCGATGGCCTTTAGCATATCGAGATCTTTTGTCAATTCTGTTAATGGTATGTACATAATAGTACTCTTATCATTATACTTTTGATTTATCGATGGTTCATTTGGCTTCATTTCTAATGTCTTTTTCGACTTCCCCTTTTATTGGGCTTCTCATTTACTAAATGTTCATCATGCTTCCTTTTTCCTAGATTCCTAACATCTCCTATACCTTGTTCTTCGCCAACTAGTTCAACCAACAAATATTCCCTATTACATTTTGACTCTTTATTGGTGAGTTCCACCAAATGTATGTCAGGTCTTTTTTGTTTTACGTTTTCTTTATCCATACTTCGTTCTTTAATTTGATATTCTTCAAATTTGTTGACAGAATGATCTTTTGGTACTTTTTCTGGACAATCACGTGACATATAGCCGTCTTTCTAATACGTGAAACACCGAAGCCCCATATTCCAATCATAATGTCGTTGAGTATTTTCTCTTTTTGTGAGATCCTTCATTACTTTGTCATTTCTTTTATTGTATCTTTTATCTTTTGAATGTCATTATCAGGCTTTTTCTTAATTTGGGATATCTTCAAGGCTTCTATCGCCTTTGTTAGTTCATCGACGTCCTTAGTATCACTTGTTCCTTCGAGTAGTGTCTTTTCACGCTTTGAACATCATTCTCATTGTCCTTTTCGTACCTTTCAATCTTCACAGCCAGACTTGCCGCTTCATGATAGTCAGCTAGATAACATTTTTCTACTTTTGACTGATATTCTCGCTTTAATCCCACAATGAACCATTTGCGCTTTTTTCTGTCACGAATTTCATCTTTTATTGCATGTGCAAAAGATTCGAATCTGTTGGTGTACCCAACTATGGATTCGTTATCTTCTTGTTTCATTTTCATTAGTTTTACAGTCTTTTCTTCAACATAAAATTTTGTTTTAATGGCCTTTTCCATCTTAGTTTTTAGGTCTGTCCAGGAACTTGCGCTTTTCATTAGCTCGCGCACCCATCCTCTTGTCTTTTCCACCACGTGTAGTCTGATCTAGAGGTTGGAACTGGTTTTAATAATTCAGATTTATCACGTGAGTTTTGTGATATTTTAGAATTTAATCCAATTAAATTTTAATAAATTTTAAAATATCACAAAATTCACGTGATAAACCCGAATTATTAAAACCAGTTCCAACCTCTAGTCCGATCACTTTCTTTTTCTTGTCGTCATCTCACAGCTTTAACTCTGCATACATTTCGAAGTCAAAGATGAAATCCTCTATGTCTTCATCTTCGTAACTGTGATAAAATGGCTTGGTGAAGTCTTGAGTTGTCATAATTAATTGTTTCTTCAAAAAGTTCATATTATTGTTCTTATGAATTAATGTTTCTTATTTAATGTCCTTATTTATTAATGCTTTTTATTTATTAATGTCTTTATTAATGTCCTTATTTATCTTATTT